AAGGATTCAGGATACATTCTAGTATATCACAACTTAATTTAAGTGCTGGTGCATCCTGTTCTTTAAACTGACCCTGTTTGTCAATGCTGAGCTAACAACTACAGCAGTAGCCACCCAGGCAACAGAAAAATGGAGGTGATCATAAAGAGGGGTGCAAGCAACGATCAACAGGATGACATTTGAGAAGACAACAGACTCCCAGACTCTATGATGCCATAACAGCTCCCGCTGTAACACAGTGGAGGTTCTTAGGAGGAATGTTAAGTGATGTCTAACATACCCAGACAATGGCTAAGGGTGGAGCTGCGACTGGGTGAAACACGTGCTCTTCACCTGCACCACACTAATCTCAGCTCACTGCAATCCTCAGGCATTAATGTGATACCAAAGGGATAAGTGACTGACATTCAAAAAAGGTATAACAATTTCACTAAGCATTTGCTGAATTCTGGTTGCTGTGCTGAAAATGGGGCAAAGGGATCGGTGAAATTTAGTTTGTATAATTTTCACATCCTGTTGGGCAAGCACGGGAAACAAAATGGTGTTGGTGCTGATATGAGAAAAAGCATAACCTCTCTGAAGAAAAATAACCCTTCTTCATAAAAGCGTTGCCTTCACTTTGTGAAAAAACAAACTCACTGCCTGAAGTTCAGAGTATTTTCAATACTGAGCCCTCAATGCGTTTCACTCGCCTGGGTTGTAAGTCAAGAGCTCTAGCTAGGAAAGCAGAAAGCAAGGAGAGCTGTGGGCTGAGTCCTTGGGAGCCTCTTCTGTAAAAGGCAGTGTGGAGAGGTAACAGCCTGAAAAGGGCTGTTTCCATCACGTGGCTCAGCAGCTTTCAACTTGTCCCCAAAAGGTATATGCTGCAGGCCAGGTCACCCCTGGGGCTTCCTTGCCAGCGAGGGGTGAGCTGGAGCCAGGCACAGCAGTGGTTTTGATGGTGTTAATATTTCCTTTTTCTGCAGGTCAAGCCTAAAGCTGTTCAGCAGACTAGGAGTGGTACCTGAGGAGTAACCACTGCTGGTCCCTGTACACTGTAGCTGAACCCAGGGTGACAAAGGCAGCCCAGCTCCCTTTTCTGTGCAGGATCCCAGGGTCTGATTCAAACAGAGGATCTGGGAGGATCTGGATCATGAAGAAACGTGAGTGGCATTCTGGGCTTGGTGTGTACTGTCCCCTCAGCATACATCTGTCTGCTGATGGTGTCCACCTGGTCCCCTCCAGTCCCTTCCCTCCCAGCTGGCCACCACTCAGTCACAGCTGCCTACAGCCCTATTCCTCCCAAAAACTCTTCTAGCCTGCAAGCTCAGACCTCTCTTTAAAAGCCATTGGTGCATTTCTTTTCCCACAACTTGTCCAGTTCCTCTCTGGTAACCACAACATCCTGAGAGGAAGACTTCTGCAGCTCAGCTGTGCACTACACTGAGAACCAGCCTCCCTAACCTCACACTGAAACTTGCCGTCTGGGCTTCCTACGACTTGCTGTGGTGGGCATCCTCTAGCCCAGGACCTGTGCTTGCTCCAGAACAAGGTCTGGAAACTGTCCCCAAATCCTGCCACCTCTTTCTTACACGGACTGATGGCCTCAGTCTCACTGTCATGACCAGTAGAGCCCTTCAAATTATTCTCTGGCAATGGTTTCATAAAACTGTTGCTCCTCAAGATCCCGGCACAGATCCAGATGTTGCTGTAAGAGAGGGCTTTAGCCTGCCCCTGTCACCAGAACATCGTAGATTTGGTGGAGCCTGGCACTGTCTGAACCCACCCCCAGACCCTGGGAGGTCACCTCTGGTCTCTGGGATGCTGGAACAGGAGGTGTCACCTCAAGATGCCCAACACCCAACCCCAAAGATCAAAGCAAGGGTCTCACCAGAACAGGCTGAGGAGGAGGAAGAGGTGAGGAAGCCGAATTCCTGGCAGACACTCCTCCACACGCAGGTGAGGATTCTCCAAGAAATCAAAACGCAGCTCCACAAGGGAAACAGAATCCCAGAATCATCTCGGTTGGAAAAGCCCTTGAAGCTCCTTCAGTCCAACCACGAACCTCACCCTGACCGTTCCCAACTCCCCCAGATCCCTCAGCGCTGGCTCAGCCCGACTCTTCAACCCCTCCAGGGATCCCGGGGACTCCCCCCCTGCCCTGGGCAGCCCATTCCAACGCCCAACAGCCCCTTCTGCACAGAAATCCTTCCTCAGAGCCAGCCTGACCCTGCCCTGGGCAGCTTGAGGCCATTCCCTTCTTTGCAGCCTCCACTCCCTGAGCAGGTAAGTCAGGTGATTTATTTCTCCAACCAACTTCTACATCAAAATTTTCCTTGCTCCACAGAGGCTTCAAAAGCCAAGATCCTTCCCCCTCATCTTACAAACACACACGACAACCTCACAAGTTGACTGTTAAGTGGCAAACGATTTTATTAAAATTAGTAAAAGGCTTTTTTTCTTTTTTTAAAAGATGAGCAGGGACACAGTTCCCTCCTGCAGGTTCACCTGATGATTACACTTTTAAAGTGATACATTATAACTGTGAAAATAGGAGCACTTCACCACAGAAAACAAGGTGCTCTTTGATTGAGTCTGAAGTGGCGATAAACCCGCTGTTTCACAAGAGTGATTCCATGTGCAAAGGCAAAGCGTACAAGGTGTTGCTAAAAAGTGGGAAAATAAATGAATAATTTTGCAGGCAAGTAAAGCATTAGAGAAAAGGGCCTTGGTACGGATGCTGCTGGTTTGGGATCTCATGGGTGTTCTCCGTATCATGCAGAAAGTGTGTGGAGAAGGCACGTGCCCCCTCCTGTTAATGAATTTTGGGATGGATTCTGCAGTGTGGTTATGCAGGCTCATGTACTCTGCTTTACAATATGTATTCTGCTTTATTTCGGTGCAATATTCAGTAGTGAACATCAGCCTTTTAACAAGGTGAAGGGATTTGGGGAGATTTCCTTACCCACTTTGAATAAAGAGCAATTCTTAGTGCTAAAACCTGCAGCTTTCACGGGGAGGTGACAGGTCTCTCTGCAAAGCCCTCACTGACAAAACTGCAAAAGCTGAGGAAAAAAAAACCACCTTATGGGGGACTGCTGGTGGGGAACCCTGGGTTCTTCTTTCTGCTTGCAGAGAGGTTTTGGGACGAGTCACCACGTTATCTTCAAAGAAGGAAAACAGCCCCCATGTCCCCTCTCCCAGCAGAGGAGGTCAAGTGTGTTTAAGAGCCTCTGATGGATAACGCGCCGGGGTCTCCTGTCAGATCAAAATCAACACCTCACTATTGCATATATTGTCCTTATCGTTTAAGGGAGGCATTTCTTGCATTTTGGGGCAAAGGGTTAGGAGGGAGGAGAAGCCGTTCACCCTGTCATGGGGCTGACGGACCCTTCTCACCGCAGGCCGAGCTCCGGCTGCACCCTGCAGTCAGGCACAGGGGGACTCATCCCACTCCTGCTCCCCTGCCAGCAGCATGCTCCGTTTTGGGAATGGCAGGAATCCAGGAGGAATAATGACTGGGCACAGTAAGGCAGGGAAGAAGCAACAGCCTGGATTTCGAGTGCAGCACAGCCAACAGTGCCAGGCCACTGCAACAGTTTAAAGCCCACGGCATCCTTGCGGGCTAGCTGGATTCAAATTGGGCCAACCCGCAGTACAAACCTTCTGCCATGTGAATCCACCACCAGGTCGCCAAATGTTTTGCCCAGTCCTGCCTCCTGCTGCAGCTCCCCTGCTCCCCCCCCCGTCCCTGCAAATCATGGGAGGGTGGCAACACCCAAAAGTCTGCGCTGGCATCTTCAGAGTTTAAAAAAACCCCAAACCCTCTATTTACAACAACCCTCTAACTACAAAAAAGTAGTTTTGTTACTTTTGTGCACCCTGTGCTTTTGGGAGGGAGATGAGATGCAGCTGCAGTCACAGAAGCAGGCAGCACCGCATCACTAAACTCTGCCTAGAGCTAGAAACTCAGTGCCAACAGCGACTGAGCCAGGCTGCTTCTGCCCCCGAAAGCTGCCCTGGGGCTGGGGAGAACCTGAGGATGTTTATTTGGGTTTGAGGATTTTATCTTAGAAATCTTGCAGCCCAATCCCTTTGCACTCCAAGCTGATCCCTGGGGATAGCAGGGATATTACAGACTGCAATTTTAAATGTGACCTTCAAGATAAGCCAGAGCATCTCAAGCACTGGGTATGGCCTTGAAGCATGCAGAGTTGATCTTATTTATGTCCCAGATTGGACACAAATTTCCTATAATCCTGTTCCATAACACCAGGTATATGGAAAGGCAAAAGGTACATCCACCCTCCTAGCTAGGCTCTAAAAATACAGCATAAAAATCAAAGAACCCCAACAATCCTGTATGGGACCAAGTCCACTTAACACTGGCATTGTGTGAAATGTTCCTCTTAAAGCATAATCCCACTTTCGCTGGCTGGAGCGGGGTGAAATGAGAAAACTGGTTAGACACAGCTCATTCCTGACGCTCAGCTTCCTCCCAGGGTGTCATGAAGCGACCCCAGAGCCCATCCCTTACTCTCAGGAGCAGGGGAGGATGCTCCAAAGCAAAGTACTGAAGCAGGATGATGGCTCCTGGGAGAGGGGAAGAGCTTGAACGTGGGCTGGCCTGGTGCCTTCTCATCACAGGGGTGTCTCTCGTCATGAATAAGCACCAGGGTCCTGCCCACACACGCAGCACCAGGGAAAAGGAGAGACAGAGACCTGCAAAGGTCCCAGCAGCAGAGCCAGAGCCACCAAGTAAGGCAAATTCAACATGAGGCACCCAGTGAGGGCTGCTGCACAAACCCTCAGGCACGTTTTCAAGCTGAGATGAGCAGAGCCAACAAAATCAGCTCTGCTTTTACAAGCTGGCTGCAAATCCTCTCCTTGCTGCACTGTCCGGAGGGATGCGGGGGGTCACCCTTTGGACCACCAGGACATGTTTCCCTGGGGCTTCCTGGACCAAACAAAGGAAGATGTGGAGAATTGCGTGAGGACTTTCTTTTTTGACTCAAGGGATCACTCCCTGAGTCAGCCCCTCTCTATGTGTGTCAAAGAAAGGCTATAGACAGGTTGAGAAATGGCGGGGTGAGGAACAGACCCCAACCCAACAGCATCACACAACCAAGGCCTCTTCCAGCAAAATCTTCCAGAAAGATTTAACAACGCCCCTATCATCCCCCCCAGCTTCTGCTCATCAGGCTTCAAAGGCATTGGCTGAATTCCTGCCCTGAAGAGGAATGGGCCAGGCTGAGTGGTGGTGGTGACATCCCATCCACTCCAAGGCTATTTCTGCAGTCGAGCGTACACCAGGAACGCTACAGCTGAAATCACAGCGATGCCCACAGCTGGAACGATGTAGAACAGGGATGGTCCGTTGTTGTCCACCGGGGGAACTTTGGCCTGAGACGAGCTGGACACAGCGCCACGGCCCTCGCTCGAGCGAAAAACCAGAGCATTTCCAAGGGGACCGGCTCCATCTTGAAGGTCATTGCCTGCCTCGAGCTGGGAGCTGGGGTAATGCTCCATGTGGACCTCGTGGGTGCCCAGGGAGGTGCTGACCCAGCTCGGAAGTGGATGGGAGTCTCTGCTTGTTCCAGCTGCCTCCTCTTCCCCAGGGTCAGCGTGAGCTGGTGGAGCTGAGCATCCTGAGGAGACTCTGGAGAGCGTTTCTCCTGAGCTCGAGCTATCTGTGCTCACCAGGAGCGGGTCACTGCTGAAAGTGAGGCTATCAGATGGCCTAAAATAGGGGCCACCAGGCCCCTGGGAGCTCGGGTGTCTGCTGGCTGCCTCTGGGCTCTCCCTGTCCGTGGAGAGGAGGACCCCTGGCTTGCTGACCTCCACATCCCTCTCCATGTTGCTGCCAGACATACAAATGCTTGCGGCAGAGTTTACCCGGGATGCCATCCTCCCAGACCTGCCTTCAAAGCTTCCTACAGCAGCTGGGAGAGAATCCACTGAGGCTGGGAGCACCTTTGGGAGACAACAAGAGGGGCTGAGTGCCACAGGGAGCACCCACTGGGCCTCATCTCAGGCACCCATGTCACGTGATAAGCCCACGTCAGCACCCAACCACCATATCTCCAATCACTAACAGCCAGGTTGGGCCACAGGTAACTCCCAGGGCTGGGAGAGTGAGCATGGCAGAGGGGGTGTTGGGGATCCAGGGGGCCTTTGGGATACGGGGGAGATATGGGAAGGAAGGATGGGGAGACAAGTAACGAGGAGAGGGATGGAAACAGTCAACTGGAAGCCAGGAGACTGACTGGCAAGTCAAGGAGGGAAAATAAGGAGTCAAAGCCTGTCAAAACTTGGCTCCCTTCTGTCACACTCCAAAAAACAGTGTCCAGATGGGGACATAAACGTAGTGGGGAAAAATGCCCTAAATAAACTCACCCCCAGTTCAGAATTTGACATGGCAGCAGCAAATCTCCCAATCAGGTGGAGTTTGCAAGGACCCAAATAAAATGCAAGCAGCAAAAGGAAAGGTCACCTACTTTCTCCTTTGTCAGCACAGAGGGGGTGCTGCCAGCTGTCTCCCCCACAGGCAGGTCTTGCTCTTGTACAGGAGGCTTCACAGAGGTGTCACAGGATGGGGAGGGGTCTCTGGGCACAAGGGTAGCGAGTGGGGTCGTTGTTTCCACCAGAGTGTCTGTCAGGGAGAAAACAAAATGTGTTTATCAGGAGACCTAAAAGGTGATTTGAGGCCTCACCTCGATAAGTGGGTTCAGTTTTGGGCCCCTCACCCCAAAAAGGCCATTGAATGACTCGAGCGTGGCCAGAGAAGGGCAACGGAGCTGGGGCAGGGTCTGGAGCACAGGTTTGCTGGGGAGCGGCTGGGGGAACTGGGGGGGTTCAGTCTGGAGCAGAGGAGGCTGAGGGGAGACCTCCTGGCCCTCTGCAACTCCCTGCCAGGAGGGGGCAGAGAGGGGGGATGAGTCTCTGGAGCCAAGGAGCCAGCGCCAGGCCCCGAGGGAATGGCCTCAAGCTGCCCAGGGCAGGGTCAGGCTGGCTCTGAGGAAGGATTTCTGTGCAGAAGGGGCTGTTGGGCGTTGGAATGGGCTGCCCAGGGCAGGGGGG